ACCAAACCATGAGCATGGTATGGTTTTCCACCTGTTTACATCCTCTGCTATTTCCTTCCTCAGTGTTTCATAGTTCTCCCTGTAGAGGTCTTTTACCTCCTTAGTTAAATATACTCCTAGATATTTTATGTTCTTTGTATTTTCTTTGTTGCTATGTGAAGGGTATTGAGTCTTTCATTTGGTTCTCAGTTTGACTGTTGTTGGCATATAGAAATACTAATGATTTCTGTACATTAATTTTGTAACCTGAGACTTTGCTGAATTTGTTTATCAATTCCAGTAGTCTCATGGCAGAATATTTAGGATTTTATAGATATAAGATCATATCATCAGCAAAGAGTTTGACCTCTTCTGCCTTTATCTGGTTCTAGTTCTAAGTGGAAATGCTTTCAATTTTTCCACATTCAATATGATGTTGGCTGTGGGTTTGTCATATATAGCTTGTATCATTTTTAGGTAAGTCCCATCTATGTCCATTTTGTTAAATGTTTTAATCTCTTATTGCTTTGTGAGATCAATACCATTTTTTAAATTATTAGAATTTTTTAAAATATACATTTAAATATATCACAACAAAAGAAGCTATATTGCAACAAAAGCAACAAAAGCAAAATAAAAGTTCAATAAAATATAATGGTAGTATTTTATGATTTTAAAATATTCTTAGAAACAAAGGAATGGAAGATAACTTCTTATGATAGAAAGCAGAAATTAAACCTCTCCCTGAATAAAAAGCAGTAAACCCAGAAGTCAATGATAACATATTAAAATAGCCCCTCAAAATTAAAGAGAGATAAGGCTAACCTACATCCCCACTTTCATATAATTTTGATTTAGGCTTCAGTCTTCACACTAAGATGAGAGAGAAAATGACAGGAATAGAAGATAGAGCAGACAGACATCCAAGAACTCCTAAAGAGACCCTGGGATAACAAATAAATGTGGTATAGTTGAAAAGGGAAATAATTATTTTTAAAATGTGAGATAATCTATGCTATCATTTTAACACGACAGAAGCTCTCCTTAGTCAACTTAATTTGAGAAAGACATTTTTTATCAATCATGCTTCTTTTCTTGGCAGCAGTCTTATAGGGGTTTTACTTTTAAGATGAGAAAAAACAAACGTAGTAAAAACATTTTATTAATTAATTAAATTATTTATTTATATTTTTTTCTTCTCCAGACAAAATTAATCACCTTCTAAGCAAATCAATCAGACAGATTAGCTTCCATCTACAACCACATAGCAGAGTACTCATGTAGCATATCTCAAAAGTGTGGTCTTGGACCACCAGCATAAGTATCACCTGGGGACTTATTAAACATATAGTAATTTATGGCCCACTCAAACTCTACTGAATCAAATAATCATTTGAAAAAGTCTTCAGATAGCTAAAGCACTTCATTATCACATACTATATAAGAACTTGTGTGTATTTGTGTATTAATGAAGACGAGAAAGCTTAAAACATTATAGATAAAAAGTGAAAAGCCAAAGTGAATTTGTCTCTAATTTCCACATCTCTATTTCCTATTTATATATTGATTGATTGATTTTAATTTTGTTAATTTTAATAAATTTAGGGAGTACCAGTTGAATTCCGTTACATGTACACATTGTCTAGTGGTGATGTCTGGCCTTTTAGTGTACCCATCACCCAAATGATGTACACCATGACCAATAGGTAATTTTCTATCCCTTCTCCCCTTTCATCCTCCCCCATTTTAAATCTCCAGTGTTCATTACACCAGTCTAATTATATTAGATTATTTGCATATGATTTATACTGGAAAGACAGGTTGGTTATCTATGGTTGCTGCCCCATAGTTTGGTCATATTTGTTACAAAGAGAATCTCCTGCTTACAAAGCATATGTAGTAAAAATCTATGTAACCTAGAATGGCTGATTCTATTGATTGAATAAACAGGACTGATTAAAAGACTAAAGAAGCAAGTGATATAGTGGGAGACTATATATCCTATAGTCAACCAACAAATGACTTACCCTATATATATATAAATTTCTGAAAATAAATGTGGAAAAGAAATATAATACAACAGAAAATGAACAAAAGACTTTATCTGACACTTCAAAATGAGGAAATCTTAATGGTCAATAAGCATAAGGACAGGGGAATGTAATTTCAAGTTGGAAGAAAATTGATAGTCTGATCTCTTTTAGAACTTGGGCCTCTAAACAACTGGATGACCTGCCTCTGGATGTACTGACTAATCATAGCTAGGGGAAAAAATGGGCCATGGTCAATAGTTGATGAATATCTCTTGAATCTGAATATGACCCCCAAACTCTGATCACACTCAGTTTCCTCAATCTACGCCTGCGTTGTGGGCTCAGTCCTAGATCTTTGTCCCTTGAGTCAACATTTAGAAGATTTTTCCATGAAGTATGATGTCATTTTTCAAACATCTCTACCTGTAGGCATCCCCAGAGGCTCTCTGGGCTTCATAAGACAATGCTTGCAAGCAGAAAGGGGAGTCCGAAGGATTCTTCCCTGCTTCTAGTCTTTTTCTTACCATTGACTTCATGGTGGAGTGTCATATTGCCTTAAAAAAAGTAAGATATAGTTCTACTTTTTCAAATTATGTGACATAGTTTTCATTACATGTCCTCTCTGTTTGGATTCTGAAGAAATGGACTGGATGTTAAATTAACAAAGTGAGCCAAAAGATGCCCTTGAAAATTGAGAATACTAGGGAACTTTCAAGGAGAGAGACAGTGTGTACATGTTGATGGGAGTGTGTGGCTGGAGAAGTCTTAGGAATGCTGAGCCAGAAATGCCCAATATGGGTGATACGTGTGAGAAGGAAGTACATTTCAAATATCATGTAATTCCCTTTATTTCTGCTGGTAGGTAGATACATGACATTGGACAGTTATTATACCTCTCTAAGACTTTGTTTTCTTATCTATAAAATGGGTAAAATAATAACATAAGTGAGAAAAATCTATCCAAATCTTTTAGCAGAATGTCATATTATTACCTAAAAGTTAAAATATAATAATGTATAATATAATGATTAAGTTTATGTATGTTTATCCCATGCATTTGAATTAAATCTCAATAGAGACTACCTCTAAGAAACAATGCAATCTTTAAGACAATTGTTAGACAAATGACAGAACACAAATGACCTCGGTCTATTGACATAAGATTATTTTAGCTATACCCAGCACTGTTTTGAGGCTCAGAGTTTTAGGAGTTTTAAGAGAAATTTGTAAACACATGAGATGATGTATATTATGCCATTCAATGCAGATTTGGTCTTTCTATTAAATTACAAATATTTATTTTTAATGAGCTATAGGTTCCCAATGACTCAGGTCCTTGGACAGTACTCTGTGCATTCACCCATTTAAAGGTTGTGAAGAAGAGAAAAATCTAGCAACAAAGCAGCCAGTATGACCCAGAAACATGAAGAGATTATACTTTTCTAGAACCAAATGTTCTCCCATAATCCCAATATTCTTGGAAAAGAATCAACTTTGACAAGTAATTAAAAATGAGGAAGATTGTATGGATGATTAAATGGAGAGTTAATAATTTCTAGATCATTACAAAAATGGAAAATAAAGACTTTGGAAGAGATAGACCCTCTCTTGAACCAATAGTCAAGGAACAGTGTTTGGGATATGTTAAAAACGTCTAATATTTCTTGTTGTTTGAGGTGCACAAAATGAAGAATCTAAAACAAACAAAGCAAAACAAACAAGCAAAACTCACATACATGTTATATGATGGAATAGACAAAGTTTACCCTAAAGAATGGAGAAAACTATTCCTGTCTTCAACTTTGGGAAATAATATTCAATTTTATAAATAATTATGGGTCTACAACTAAATTGCACTTATTATGCTAGGAACTGGAAATGTGGTAGTGAACAGTGCATAATTCCCTACCCTCTTTATTCTAATTGTGGGAGAAGACAGACCTTAGTAATAATAATAGGGAAAATAAGAAGCTATTTTGAGTAAAAGGGACTAGACTATGCACTTTCAGAGAAAAGAAGATAGGATTTTTTTAGAAACATATATCAAATCAATTCAAAGAAGAAAAGCAATATGAGTACTCAAGCAGAAGTAGAAAGTTTTAGGTAGTAGTTAATATGTTAAGACTGGTAATAAGTAAGGATGTATAAACCAATGACCACCTACTCAGCATGATTTAGAGTGGCTTCCATATAGGCAGGAGGGTAAGACTACATATTTTCAAAGGTCCCTTTTAACTATAAGACTGTATAATTATAAACTTCTAGTTCAGCCATTACTTCAAATGTTTATCATATAGAGATGTATAGGTATGAATATATGTATGGAATAATTTATGAATCTCATCTCTAATCTACAATAAATGTTGCCTTTTCCTTCAAGATTTTGTTTCCCTTCATCAGGAAGTTTTTATAAAACTGAAATAAGAGCGCCATGAAATTAGAGACCTGGTTTGTGAGATTGTTACATGAGTACTTTCATGTGGTCAAAAGATTATCTGGAATTGTTAAATATTAAAAGTCCAAATTACTTGATACTTTAACAAATTGAAAAACATGCCTTGTTGAGAAAGCAGGTCATATTCTCATATTCTTTTCATTTGTGTATGTGTTTGATTGTTTTTGTGTTTTTTTTTTACAGTCTGAACTGACAGCACAAATATAGACATTTGGCTTTAAGAAGTGTCTACCAACCCTCTTAGTATCTGTGATGTACATTATACCAGAAAGAGGTATCTTCTATCGTAACTTCATTTAAGAAATTTCCAACTACATTGAGGCAACATATGGTTTAGTATCTTTCTGTGTGTCATGTCTCCTCTTAATGACACAAAAATTGAAATTCTCAGATTCCTTCTAATTGGGATTCCTGGACTAGAGAAGAGTCATATCTGGATATCCATTCCTTTCTCATCTGTGTACCTTCTTTCTTTCCTGGGGAATTTTACCATCCTCTTCTTTATCAAGACAGAACAAAGCCTCCATGAACCCATGTACTATTTCCTTTCCATGCTCTCCATCTCTGACCTAGGGCTATCCCTCTCTTCTTTACCCACCACATTGGGACTATTCCTATTTGGTATCCATGAAATTCATGCAGCTCCATGCTTTGCCCAGGAGTTTTTCATCCATCTGTTCACAGTCACGGAAGCCTCTGTGCTGTCTGTAATGGCATTTGACCGATACGTGGCAATCCACAATCCTTTGAGATACAGCACAATCTTAACTGGCCCGAGAGTCATCAAAACAGGCATCTTTCTGACTTCCAAGAATGTTCTTTTGATTCTTCCATTGCCCTTTCTTTTGCAACGGCTGAAATACTGTCATCAAAACCTGCTCTCCCACTCCTATTGTCTCCATCAGGATGTCATGAAGCTGGCATGCTCTGACAACAGAGTCAACGTTGTTTATGGACTCTTTGCTGCACTTTCTACTATGTTGGACTTAGTGTTTATTACTTTCTCCTACATTATGATTTTAAAGACTGTACTAGGAATAGGAACCCCCAGAGAGCAGTTCAAGGCCCTTAACACCTGTATCTCTCACATCTGTGCCGTGCTCATCTTCTACGTGCCCATGCTAAGTGCAGCGATGCTCCACCGTTTTGCCAGGGATGTGTCTCCTATGGTCCATGTGCTCATGGCTGATATATTCCTTCTGGTACCACCACTCATGAACCCCATTGTGTACTGTGTGAAGACCCGTCAAATCCGGGAAAAGGTTGTGGGGAAATTTTGTCCAAAAATAAATTGATTGGAAGGAATGAGAAAGGGACTAAACATATAAATAGATTGTTCTTGGGTTTAATAATCAGACAGAGCTCATAAAATCAATAGCCTTTGATATTCAGTACCCTAAATACCCTTAACACTGCTGTGATCATGGGAAAGTTCAGCTCTCTGATTCTCAGATTATATATATAGAACTTTGAGCCTTACTGGAAGACTGGAAGCTTCTACTTCCTGCTTTCTAGAATAAGTGACAGTAAAATAACATGAAAAAAGTACCATATCTATATCTGTCTTTAAAAAAAAAAAAGAAAGAAAGAATCCTGTTTCCTTACTTTCCTAACAAGTAAAACCTATTAAGAGAAGGGATAAATTGCTTCTTCAGTTTTAAGGTTCATGATGATGCAATGGTTGATTTATTTAATTCCAAAACATCATGCACAGACTCAAGGATTTTAAAATATGTATATTAACTGTATCTTTGGATATAAATTAAAACTATACATTGTCAGTGCTATTACTCTGGAGTCATATGAGTCATTATTACCAATTACATAATTAAAAGAACCTCAAATTACTATATATCCATAGCTTATTTTAGTGGCCTTTGTAAAAAAATTACATTTATCTTCTCATGTGCACATTCTCACACATACCTATTACTTTTTAAACTTTTTCACTATATATATATTTGACTCTCAATTTTTAGAATGAAGTAATTATAACCATGTTTCCAAAGATCATCTTTTTAATTTTTTTAATTTTTTTTATTTCAGCATATTACAGGAGTACAAACATTTAGGTTACATATATTGCCTTTGCCCCACCTAAATCAGAGCTTCAAGCATGTTCATCCCCTAGATGGTGCACACTGCACCCATTAGGTGATTATATACCCATCCCCTCTTCCCCGCTCCCATCTACCCGGCACACAATGAATGTTACTACTATATGTGCACTTAAGTGTTGATCAGTTAATACCAATTTCATGCTGAGTACATGTGGTGATCGATTATATCAGTTTGGCCACCACAACTATGCTACATATTGACAAACATCTTGTGCAAGTTATAAGTTTATTATAGATATTGCTGAGAAGTAGAAATAAATTGTTTAAATCTGAAGTGTGAACTTTTATTTGTCAGCCTCTTTTATGCCAATAGATTTATCAAAAATTAATATTATTAAACAATGAAATAAATTATACCAGTATAATAAATGATAAACACTAGATAGGCATTGGTCTTTATTTCCTGCACATATTTTTGGGTTTACTTAATCAAATAATTTTCTGTTGGCCCCAGGCTACTTGCAGCCCTGTGGTTTCATTCATTTCACAGCTTTGGCAAAGAAGTAACCAAAGTGTCTGATTTAAATGAATGAATAAATAAAAGTATATGGAAGGGCCGGCATTGTCAAGTACAACTTCCAATTGAAGTTGGAAAAAGTTAGCTATGGCTGCATGCTTATATGCCACTACATTTCATTTTATCAGTGAAGATCCTGCCTACTCCTGTCTTTATGGCTTTGTTGGTATCACACTGGAAATGATTAAGAAAAGAGAGATGGGAGATCACTAGTCATTTTTCAGATTTAGAAATGTGTTAAAATGAGAACTGTATGCACTGTGTATGTATCTCATATGCAATTATATTAAGCTGCAGTAGAATCTTGAAGTTCAAAGTGGAGATCTAGCAACCCATCATTTTGAAGTACTTATTTATAACACACTATGAAAAAATAAAAAATCTGGGACAGATTCCAAACTGATTGGGAAACCAAGACAACATGTATAAAGTAGGTACAGTATTGTTAAACAAGGATTGTGGTCACTCTACTAATGATTTTAATAATGGTGTTTACTGAGAATCAATTAAGTATCAGCTATTCTGTTCAGATGTTTATTTTAATTATTTAAATTGATTTTGAAAGAACTCTTGATATAGATGTTGGTAGTGTAAATGGGTTGGTGAATTATTTGACGGTACTAAATTGACATTTGAAGTATAAATTTCAGAATTATGATGCAAATTGCATGTGTCCTAGGAAGAACACACAAAGAACAGCCAACAGTAATTAAGAAACCTATAGTTTCAGACTGAAGGCTGAGGGGAATCCTCCTTCTCCCTAAACTCAAACCAAATCACGCTAGCAGTTAATAGCTGAGAATACCTGATAGTACCAGAATCTGCATTCAATACAAAAACAAAACAAGGAGAGAAGTTCCTTTTTGTAAGACATAAGAAAATAATCTCAGAAAAATTAAATAATTTGCCCGTGGTCATAGGGTCACATGGCTAGAAAGTATCAGAGATAAGGTTGAAATCAGCTGTATATTTTATTTGGAACTGCTCTCTAGATAGCTCTCACTCTATTTCTCTCATGAAATATTTGCCTTCTGGTCTAGCTAGGTCTTTCTTAACCAGTTTCACAAGATGATATCCATAACTTGAAATATCCTAACATTTAGAAGATATCATTTGCCCACAGACATGAGATTTTCTCCTCCTAATACTTAATTTGTGTACCTCATTTTCCAGATATTGTGTTTTCTTGGTCTCTTGTGGCCTCCATCCTCAGAAAAGAGCTTATAAGAACTCTTCAGAGAGTTCTCAGCCTTTGGAAAGGGCCCTGAGGAGAAGCTTCTGGGCTCTTCAAAAAGACTCTGAGTTTTAAACAAGGATTGTTCCTTTAGCCAAGCCACCATCCAACCTGACTTCTGGATGGAAGTATTCCCTCCAAGCCCTTTTCTCTCCAGCTGTTGGTGCTCAGGTATGTATTACACACAGAATCCCAGCGACGACAGTCAGAGCACAGAGATAACTGGGCACATAGAACCAGGGCCAAAGACTGAGCTCTCCATTTTAGCTGCTTGCTAAATCCCACATCCCATCAATCAAGGAAGTTTTGAGTAGTGGATGGACTGGGGTTAGGAGACCTGTGGTTCTAGTTCCAGCTTAGTCACTGTGTATGATCTTGTAAAAGTCATATTCATCATTTTGTTTAATCCCTGCTGCCACTCGGTCCTTGAACTTCAAAATTGAAATTGTAATCTCTACCTTCCTTACCTTAAAATTGCTTTATGGTAATTAAATATTAAAGTGGATTTGACAGCACTTTGTAACAATCAAGCTCTATACTTAGATAAGGTCATGATTGTCTTTGGGAATAATTTTGTAGACTGTCACCAATGCAGATGTTGATAAAAATAAACAACTTTGTGTGAAATTATATGAGGAATACAAATCAGAGGGAGTAAGAATATCACTGAGATAACTGCTCAGCCCACCTCTTCTCTGTCTCCTTCATAGACTCTATGATGACATTCCTTTATTCCAATAAGTTAGAACTCAAGGGAGGATCATGTCTCATGTAGTCTAGTGAAGGAATCATCTGACACTTCTCTGATCCCTTGATCTGAAGGTGAGTGCCATTGAGAAGGAAATTATTGTGCTTAATCTCTACTGTACCTCATCTCTTTTCTATCCATTCATTCATACATTTATTCAATATTTATTCTGCAAACTTTATTAGGCTGCAAACCTGTGCCATAGTTGTAAGCTCTAGTGATGCAATAATTCCAACTCTCAGGTGTTTTTTATGAATTGCTTTTATCTTTTCTCTCCCTCCTCATGCCTTATACCCTTGAACCTTAATCATATCCAAAATATAATATGCAAGGAATATATTTGAAGGTGATAAAATAGCTGAGATGGAATACTATAAATGCAATTTCTATTGAGAAATACAATTTCTCAATAGGTAGGCAGAATGACTCTTCCCTGTCTAGGGATACAGGGGTGCAGTGGATGATCTCTGAAGGTTTCTTGTGTGTCTCAAACTCTCTGAGTAAGACGGATAGAAGCAAGCTTCACTCTGAGTCTGGTGGCTGAAAAGACACACATACATTTAAAGTTGTGTTTGCATCTCACTAAGATGGGAAATTTCCCCTTCTTTATTGTTATTCCTTTTAAAAATTCTGTTGCTCTTTTCTTCATTAATCAATACACCCAACCTCAAAACCTCTTTGCTTCACTGCCTAAGCTGCCTGCAGCATGCTCTCTAAATTCTATGACACCCACTTTGTCTTTCACAGCCCACCTCCCTTCCAAGCCTCTACTTCTCTTCATTTCTTTCTCTTTCCTTGCCATCCCTTTTTATATCCTTTTCAAGCTTCCCCTTTGGAATCATAAAACTAGAAGGGTTTTATTATTATATTAATTATTGTATTACAATATTAGTATTTTTTTTTACTTGAAGTGTGAACTAGACAGGAAATTTTGGTCTTTCTTTATCCTCAGCCCTTCAAAATGCCACTACCTTACTGAGAAAAAGGTAGTGGCATATTTTTCTTTTTGAAAAAAATCCTTAACTTCCTATCTTCCTTCCTGAAAAATTCCTGGTATTTTTACTCATCTGTAGATTTTCCCTTGAAGGAAAACTATACAAAATGTAGACGTTTTTATTTATTCCTCCTCACCCACTGATAATCTAAGCCCTCATAATCCACTTCCTGCATATTGAAACATTATCTGAAAAATTAATGATGACCTCACCACCATAAGTGTAATGTCTTTTTGAAAACACTTACTTTACCTCTTTTTTATGGTCAATAGTGGTGACTTAAATTTATTAACATTATGTACTACTATTTTCATCCTGTGTCTCTGATTCTCCATTCTCTGTCTCTTTTCCAGTTTTAATATTATGTGCTACCCTCATTTAAAAGTTTTCAGTTTTATGAACTGAGTTCCTGTCTCCTTTTCACATTGCATATCCTAGCAATTTTCTCCATATCCATGGCAGATATTCTACAACTCAAGCCCTCACTCATATTAGTGAGTCCAAAGATCACTACATATGATATCTTCCAGACACTTTCCCCAGGAATTCCTTTTCACACTTACATCTAGCATACCCCCAACTGAACTTGGTCCATAAAACATGTTTCCTCTCTAATGTTATCTATCTTGGCTAATCTGATGTTATTCATATAATGGAAATGGCTATCCACAGACTTGTCCA